GCGGGTGGGCAGAGGCCCTAGCAGCTCCTTGGCCTGATGGGGACGCGGAGCCCTGCTGTGCCCTTGCTGTCCCGCCACGCTATGTGGATGGCCCCTGCTGCGTCCACCGTGGGCCTGCAGGCCGGGCGACAGGAGGGCCCAGTGGCTTTTAGCTGCTGTGTCCTGCCCCACAAGGTGCCCGGATGACAGAGTGACCATCCCCAACCCGGACAGCAGAGCCCAGGGGCGCGGAATGGGTGCCAGGCGTGTGACTCGGTTTCCCCTTTGTGCCTGCACACAGCCTCACGGGTGTCTTCCTCCCCTTTGCAGAGAGCGTGGGCGCAGAAGTGGGGCTCCTGCAGCTGCTTGGGGAGCCCCCGCCCCAGCACGTCACCCAGGTCGACGACCCCGACGTGGGACCAGCCTACGTGTTCGGCCCAGACGCCAGCGGTGGCCAGGCGGCCCGGGCCCACCTCCCCAGCCCCTTCTTTCGCGACTTCTCGCTGCTGTTCTACGTGCGGCCGGCCACCGAGGGCGCGGGCGTGCTGTTCGCCATCACGGACGCGGCCCAGGCGGTGGTCTCGGTGGGCGTGAAGCTGTCGGGCGTGCGCGACGGCCACCAGCACGTCCAGCTGCTGTACACGGAGCCCGGCACGGCCCAGACGCGCACGGCCGCCAGCTTCCGCCTGCCCGCCTTCACCGGCCAGTGGACGCGCCTGGCGCTCAGCGTGGACGGCGACACCGTGGCCCTGTTCGTGGACTGCGAGGAGCTGCAGAGGGTGCCCTTGGCACGGTCCCCACAGCGCCTGCAGCTGGAGCCTGGCGCTGGGCTCTTCGTGGCTCAGGCCGGAGCAGCGGACCCCGACAGCTTCCAGGTACCCCGAAGGCCCTGCATGAGGCGGGGTCAGGCCTGGGGGTGGGGCCTGGCCACTCAGCCGGGTACGACGGCTGGGCCGGGGACAAGGGCCGGGCCAGCCTGGCTGCCCCTTGGTCCGCCCAGCTTCACAGCGTCCCTTATTCCTTGGTGCCCTGGCCTGTTGGACACCCCAACAAGGGTCTCCTTGAGCTGCTCTGATTTCTCTGAGGCCCCCTTGGGACCACTGTCCTAACTGGGTGCTGGCCCTGCACCGTCTGTGCACAGTGCACGCAAGGGTCCCCTTGTTCCAAAATTAAGAATTTCAGGGTGGCAACACTGGAGGGTGGGAGTGGGTGTGGGCCGCCCTGGGCTGAGCTGCACCCCGTGAAAGCTGCACGCCCGCTGGGCGGGGCCAGGGTTCGCACCCAGCGCCAACACCGGTTGTGCTGGTGGTTATTTTTTTTACTGAACTGCTCGGTGCCTGCCGCTCGGGGCAGCGGTGTGGGCGGGTCCCCCAGGGGGGCTGTCTCCGCCGTGTCCCAGCGCTGGGGCGGGGTCTTCCTCCTGGCCCCCAGCCCCTCTGCAGCTTGGAGCCGTGAGCTGGTACCGGCCTCCCGGCAGCAGCGCGTGGGCTCCTTAGCAGGCGCTGACTCAGTTCTAAGTGACAGTCCGTCTGCAGCTGGCACGCCCCTGCCCGCGGCCCAGACAGCGGTCCCTGTGTGTGCTAACGGGGGACGTGTCCCCAGCAGACAGAGAGCTAATTATTGCCCAGACAAAAGCTGCGTGACTGAAAGTTGTTCTAAGCCCTGGCGACTCCGGTTCTGGGAGCTGGCCTTTCACCTCTGGCGGGAGGGGACTCTCACCCATGGGGTCCGGGAGCCAGTCGGACTTCGACCCCACACTGGGCGTCCTTGTGTTGTCATTTTGATCCTCAGACGTGATTAACCGAAAGGGCTGAGAGTCATCCCATCCAGGCACGGGGCGTGTTTGCTGGCAGTTTGTCGAGTGATTTCCCGGCATTTCTACATGGGGCAGGACGCAGAGTCCCCGCTGCCCGTGACTCTCTAACAGAGCAGCTGCCCCTGTGCTGATGGGGACAGGCCCTGCTGAGGGCTCAGGGCGGCAACGTAGGAGCGAGGTGGTTGGCACCACTGTGCAGCCAGGACACACCAGCCTGCCTCTCCCTAGGCCTCGCCCGGGCTGCACGTCACCTGTGCAAAACACACCCGCCGGGCGGCAGGTGGTGGGCGGCGTGCTGCTGTGCGTTTCTTGGCGCTGGTGAAGACAGACCTTCACTCTTTCACGTGTTTATTGGTTAGTTGTGTTTCTTCTTTCGTGACTGGTCTGTCTACGTTCTTTGCCTTTTTTGTTTTGGCGAGTTCAACCTTTTCTTGTTGATTCATACAAACCCTTTACGTAGCAAGAAACTGATCTTTTGTTTTGTATACCACAAAGTTTATTTCTCAGTTTGCCATTTTCTTGCTCACCTTGTCATATTTTTAAAAACCACTGGGCTATTTAAAGTATTCGCGTGGTTCAGTCCCGCCTGGAGAAGACACCCACAGCGGTGACCATCCGAGCGAGTCCGCAGCTTGGAGAGGCAGACGGCAGGGGACAGCGTAAGGCTCCTTCTTCCGGCTCTGGGCTGTGGCCCTGCCTCCCCCAGGCAGCCTGTTGATTTCCCTGTGTCACATCCGGCCAAGTCAGGCACAGTCTGGGTCCTGTGTCCCCGCAGATGAGAAGTTTCCAGAATTTTCTGAGTGGGTGTCTGGTCAGTTCCGGCTGGCTGAGAAGAGGGGCTGTCCGGTGGCACAGACGAAAAAGTCGGCCTAGTACAAGGTTCTCTGACTTTCCGAGTGGAGATTCTTGGGGGGAGAGTCAGGTGGCGTGATTTCTAAGACTTGGCAGGAACGGAAGCTCGTGGTGCCGGTGTGCTCGGCCCGGTGCTGGTACCGGCGGGCCCGTATGGGTCCCGCCCATCAGCGACGTTCTGCCACCTCAGGAGGCGTTTCGGGTTCGTCCCCGGAGGCGGATTTAGCGGTAAATGTCCCGGGAATAGGCTTGTCCCACGCGCTACCGCACATCGCCACCGACTCACTCCGTGTCCGTTGCCTCCCGGCTTCTGCCGTTTCCAGGGCTGTGCGGCGTTTCGTGGCGTCCTTTCTCGTTGTGGGGAGTGTCCACGCTTCCCCGCTCACTGTTCGCTTCTTTCTGGGGCGCCACCCCCTCTTCGCCTGGGGGCTCTGGGCCTCAGCCGTCTGTGTGTCAGGCGGGCCGCCCACAAGTGCGCTTGGGCCCCGGCCCGTGGCCCCCGGGCCTGTCCTGCTGCTGGCACCTTCGTGCTCACTCCTTGTGCTCGGTAAGGGACGTGGGCCTTGTCGTCCCTCACGTGCAGCTGTGTTGGCCGCATCACACAAAAGTAAGCACTCGGCCCACCGGTCACCTAGGCTCTGGCCACCGGGCCGGGCTTGCTGCCGAGGATGGCGTGGAGCAGGCAGGAAAAGTGTGGGCCCCCGGGCCCCCGCGGCCCCCAGGCCCAGCCGCACCAGACCCGCCACTCCTAGCCGAGACCCCGCTTACGACAAATGCTAGGAACGCTGTCGCTCGTCGGAAGTGACGTGCGCTGGCATAGCCCAGCCACGGAGCTGCGGCAGCCCTGAGTGCCCTGGCGGCGGAGGAGGAGGGCGTCTGTCGTGCAGGGACGAGCCGGGGACCGTGAGGCTGCCGGGTGCTCTCACGCGGCCAGTCAAGGAGGCGTCTGAGCCGTACGCCAGGCAGGTGGTCCCCGGGGCCAGGAAGTGGGGTGGCGGGGGTGTGGCCGTCATAGCGACTGCCGAGGCGGGTGACGAGGGAACAGACTGACTTGAGGGATCAGCCGGCAGAGGAGGGGCCCCGGGGTGGGGGTGATGCGGGCCTGGGAGTGCTGTGCGCCCCCCCCCGCCGCAGGCTCTTGCACCTCCACTGCCCCGGGCAGGACACACCCGTCCAGTAGGGGCAGAAAGGGTGGGTCAGAAGCCACCCCCAGAGTCTTGGGGGCCCCGGGAGTTGGGTCTCAGTAGGGGGAGCAGCCCTAACACCAGCAGCCTCAGGGACTCACTTCTGTAAGGTGAGGTTCTCTTGTCCACACAGGACTTTGGGACGTGTGGCCCGTGACGTGGCAGTGACAGGACGTATTTTAAATAGTCTTTATCGATGAGAACTCCGGATTTCATAATGTTTGGTTTCTAAGTCCACTCGGTATTTGCAGTGGGTCTTGTGGCCCCTGCGCTGGTGACGCTGATGATGTCTCCCTCAGCTGGCCGTGTCCTTGGGAGAGCACCACCCCCGGGCGGGTGGCCTAGGCCACGCTCCTCTGAGGCCGGCCGCGGCGGCCCGGCCTGTCCAAGGGTCGGAGCCTCGTGACGGTGACGGTGTCGGTGTGGGGACAGGTCATGACGGGACATCCAGGGCCCTGATCTCCACACGAAGTGCCCCAAGGAATGGTCAGAAATGTGGTTTTCTAGAATTTTCAACATCTGACTCCCCCACCCCCGCCGTCCCTGGGAGTTCTCTAACTTGGTGACTCAGTGTCACCTGGGGACCACCCTGTCCCCCTCTCAGCAGAGCTGGTGGGCTAAGAATTTGCATCTTGAACTTGATGCTGCTGCTGACCCCTGCCCTGACCCCGGACGCTGACCCCTGCCCTTATCCCGAAGGCCAACCCCTGCAGTTTCGAGTCCAGAAGGGCCTGTGCCTCCTCTGGGTGCTGGCTCCCCAGGAGCCTGGACAGTGGAGCCTGTGTGTCATGTAGAGGGCCAGGACGGGGCGTGATCCCTGGTCTGCACCCCCCCCACACCCACGTCCACACACTGCCCACAGCACAGATGCACACGCACACGCACACCGTGCACATGCCTGTACAACACACATGTGCACATGCAGGGAGATGGGGTGCCACCCCACAGGCCTCACCATCAGCCGTGGGGGTGGACGGGGGTAAATGGAGTCAGGCAGGTCTTCCTCCAGGGCCCATCACCTCCCTGGGGAGGGAGTCCAGGAGTGCTTCCTGGAGGAGGTGGCCTGAGCTGAGCCTCCAGAGACCAGTGGAGCCCTCAGGCAAGGGCTCAGCTCTGGGGACACCTGGGCTGTTTGTTGGTTGGTGGTCACATGCCTCTTGTTGGTGTGAGCAGGAAGGTTGCAAGGTCAAGGGTCAGCTGATAAAGTGAGTCCGAAGGGCGTTTGGAGGCGTGAATAGAATGATGCAGGCCGGGGTCAGCGCAGGCCAAGGCCGTGTCGGCCTGCTGCCCGTTTCTGACGTGGAAGGGCTTCGCTCGTGTGCAAGGCCTGGTCCCCACCGGACTGGCGCCTCCGGCAGGGCAGGAACACCGGAGGGAGTGTGTGCAAAGTGGTGAAGAGGATGAGTGAGCGCGTGAGCGAGTGTGAATGTGAGCAAATATGTGCATGAGTGAGTGAGCGTGAGTGAGCGAATATGAGTGAGCAAGTGTATGTGAGTGCACGAGTGAGCATGAGTGCACAAGTATGAGTGCGTGTGAGCGAGCGTGTGAGTGAGTGAGTGAGCATGAGCGAGCGTGTGTGAACGAGTGCGTGAGTTGAGTGCATGAGTGAGCAAGTGTCTGATGTGAGTGCATGAGTGTGAGCGAGTGCATGAGTGTGTGAATGAGCGCGTGTGAGTGCGTGTGAGCGTGTATGAGCAAGTGCGTGAGTGAGCAAGTGTGCGTGAGTATGTGTGAATGAGCGAGTGCTTGAGTGTGTGAGTGAGCGAGTGTGAGTATGAGTGTGTGAGTGCATGAGCGAGTGTGTGTGAGTGTGAGTGCATGTGAGCGAGTGCATGAGCGAGTATGTGTGTGTGTGAGTGAGCGAGTGTGTGAGTGAGTGCGTGTGTGTGTGTGAGTGCGTGCGTGTGAGCGAGTACGTGTGTGAGTGTGTGAGTGAGTGAGTGTGAGTATGAGTGTGTGTGCAAGTATGTGTGTGAGTTCATGAGCGAGTGCGTGTGTGAGTGCGTGTGTGTGAGCGAGTGTGTGAGTGAGCGAGCAGGGCATCTGATGGTGCAGTGGCAGGGCCTCTGGCGAGTAGCGTGTGTGGAGAACCAGGAAGTGTGGGCTCCGTTTTGTCCCTGGCCCCTGACGTGTGTCTCGTGAGGAGGTGGCGTTGGGGTCCCGCCTACTTAACCTGCCGCCGTTTGTTTCCTGCTGCGTCCGGCATTGACCCGGGCAGGGGCCCCTCTCGCTCTGGTCTGTGTCACCTGCTGCATCTGGACTGCGGACAGTGCCAGGCTCCGGGCTCGATGCTGGTGTGAGTCAGGTGCTCTCTGTGCTCCTGCCACCGCACAGGGACCACCGGTGACCTCTGTCCTTCTGTTTAGGGTGCGATTGCGGAGCTGAGGGTGCGTGGGGACCCCCAAGTGAGCCCTCTGCACTGCCTGGAGGATGACGACGACGATGACCGTGACAGGGTGAGTCCTCTCTCCAGCCCGTACCCCACCCGCACCCCCACCCCGTGAGTGGCAGCCCGAGCCGCAGGGGCTGGCCTTCCCCGGGACCTCAAAGTGATGGGACCGAACGGTCTCTGATGAAGGTGTGCATGAGCGAGTGCGTGTGTGAGTGAGTGTGAGTGCGTGTGAGCGAGTGTGTGAGTGAGCGAGCGAGCATCTGATGGTGCAGTGGCAGGGCCTCTGGCGAGTAGCGTGTGTGGAGAACCAGGAAGTGTGGGCTCCGTTTTGTCCCTGGCCCCTGACGTGTGTCTCGTGAGGAGGTGGCGTTGGGGTCCCGCCTACTTAACCTGCCGCCGTTTGTTTCCTGCTGCGTCCGGCATTGACCCGGGCAGGGGCCCCTCTCGCTCTGGTCTGTGTCACCTGCTGCATCTGGACTGCGGACAGCATCCGGGCTCGATGCTGGCGTGAGTCAGGTGCTCTCTGTGCTCCTGCCACCGCACAGGGACCACCGGTGACCTCTGTCCTTCTGTTTAGGGTGCGATTGCGGAGCTGAGGGTGCGTGGGGACCCCCAAGTGAGCCCTCTGCACTGCCTGGAGGATGACGACGACGATGACCGTGACAGGGTGAGTCCTCTCTCCAGCCCGTACCCCACCCGCACCCCCACCCCGTGAGTGGCAGCCCGAGCCGCAGGGGCTGGCCTTCCCCGGGACCTCAAAGTGATGGGACCGAACGGTCTCTGATGAAGGTGCCGGTTCACGTACCAGAAACCTGGCAACGCCCGTGTCCCCTGCAGCTCGAGAGGCAGCTTCCCCTCCCCAAAACGTCCCGTGAGAACCACGGATGTAAAGTCAGTCCTGGGAACTGTCCCCGGGAACTGTCCCCAGGTAGCCAGTGGTGAGAGTCCATAGCAGTCACCACTGCAAAAAGTGTGTGTGAGTGTGTGAGCGTGTCAGACTGGGTGTGAATGCGATAGTGTGAGCGCGTGTGAGTGTGTGTGAGCGTGTGTGAGTCGTGTGAGCGTGTGTGAGTGCGTGTGAGCGTGCGTGTGAGTCGTGTCGTGTGAGCGCGTGTGAGTGTGTGAGTGCGTGTGAGTCGTGTGAGCGTGCGTGTGAGTCGTGTAAGCGTGTGTGAGTGCGTGTGAGTCGCGTGAGCGCGCGTGTGTGTAAGTCGTGTGAGCGTGTGTGAGTGCGTGTGAGCGTGTGTGAGTGCGTGTGAGCGCGTGTGAGTGCGTGTGAGTCGCGTGAGCGCGTGTGAGTCGCGTGAGCGTGTGTGAGTGCGTGTGAGTACGTGTGAGTCGTGAGTGTGTGAGTGCGTGTGAGTCGTGTGAGCATGCGTGTGAGTGCGTGTGAGTGAGTGTGAGCGCGTGTGAGCGCGTGTGAGCGCGCGTGCACGCATCGCGTGGGACCTGTATGTGTGAGTGCGTGTGAGCGTGCGTGTGAGTCGTGTGAGCATGCGTGTGAGTGTGTGTGAGTCGTGTGAGCGTGCGTGTGTGTGAGTCGTGTGAGCGCGCGTGCACGCATCGCGTGGGACCTGAGCAGGACAGGACCAGAGGGAAGCAGTGTCCTCAGGGAGCCTTGGATCAGAAGACGCCCCCAGTAGACACGACTGTGCATAGAACGAGGGGCGCAGTCACGTCCCTGCGGCCACCTGCTGTTCTGTCCCATGTCCTCCTGAGCTGGCGTCCGAGCTGAGGACAGCGTCCCAGAAACAGGGTGACGTGTGGAAAGGGAGGGACTTGCTTCTTCACGGGTCTCCGTGCGTCTGGCCAGGAGCCGAATCGGTTCCGAAGGGTCATTCTCACGGGTCTGACCAGACCCTCGCTGAGACCAGCTGACCCCATGCGGCTGCTGCGGGAGGGGCACCCCCCCCACCTGCCGGGCGTGCTCCCCGTCACTGCTCCCCCCTCGTTTCTGTCACCCCACAGGCCTCGGGAGACTTCGGCAGCGGGCTGCAGGGGAGTCCGGAGCTCGCTGGGGAGGAGGTGGTGAGTGCCCGTCCGGGCGGGTATCGGGGGACCCCGTCCTGCTGTCCTGCCGCTGGGACGCTCTTGAAAGTCAGTTCTGTTGCCACATGTTCCTTGGTCTCTGAGGTCACCTAGACAGCTGACTGTCCCTCTGGTCGGCCCTGACGGATGGGATCTGTAGTCGAGGAGGCCTGCGGGGTGCGCCCCAGCTCGCAGGCCCGAAACGGCACGCAAGAGAGGCGCCCTTAGGGGCAAGAGCAGCCGGCCGCGGCTCCCACCATCCGGCTCCCCAGGGCGTGCTGTGCGGGGTGCTGAGCTGCCTGGGCGGTCTGGTCCAGCAGCGTCCGGTCCAGCAGGCTGTGGGGGGAGCCCTCAGACAAGACTTCACGGGATGGCCGTCACCCACCCACACAGCGTCCCCAGGGAACACATGACAGCTGTGGGCTCCTGGCTGCAGAGCATCCTGACCGCGAGTTTGAATCAGGAAGGCGGGTTTTCAGGGCAGAGCGGCCTTGTCCCCTCCAGGTGTGGGGTGGTCTCCTGGCCAAGGAGTGCCTGGTGACGCCCCTTGCTGGGGACACGTCACAGCCACACCCACCGTGCACGGTGAAATGTGGAGTGCCCCCACTCCCGCATGGGTGTTCGTGATGGTATTGACCACGGGAAGGAGCCAAGGTGCTGGAATGTCCCCAAGGGCCATACTGAGCTCTGAGTGGGGGCACAGGGCGCTGGAGTGTCCCCAAGGGGCCATCCTGGGCCTTGAGCCAGGGGACGGGGTGCTGGTCCATCCCTCACATGCGGGGAGACCTCGGGCAGGGGAGTTGGGGACTTGCTGGGCTCACAGGGTGGAGCATCAGTCAAGGGGACTCACCTGCAGGAGGGAAGCGGCCCGAGGGCCCCGAGCTTCCTGCCTGAGGTGAAGTCCTGGTGGCTTCCTTTGCTCTTCCTTAAAGTCTAGAAAGATCCTTTTTTACAATCCAGATCAATCTCGGCTGAGGTTTGTGGGCACCCAGGTGGCACGTGGGTCGCAGGCCATCTGTTAGGGGCCGTTTTTCCCTCTCGCCTCTCCAGGGCATGTCCTCACAACCCGGCCTCCCTGAGGCTCCACCCGCCACTTCTCCACCCTTGGCTGGAGGCAGCAACTCAGAAGATTCCAGAACTGAAGAAACCGAAGAAGAAACTACAGCATCCTCATTAGGAGGTAAAACTCTTTCGTGGGTGTGCCGTGCGTGTGCGTGTGCGTGTGTGAGTGGCGCGTGTGGCCACCCGGTGAGGGACTCTCGTCTGTCACAAATACACGTGCCAGACCGGGGAGTGGCCAGCGTGGGACCTGAGCAGCGGCTCCCTCGCCACCCAGGCTGCCCCGGGAGGAGTCAGGGCAGAGCGGCTGCTCAGATGTGTTCATCTCTTTCTTGTGGTTTGTTTCTTGGTTTCTTGTTTCTGGGGCACTTGTGGGTCTGGATGACACGCCACCTCCTCGCCTGGGGGCCAGTGGGTCCCTGGGAGGACATGAGAGTGGGCTGTGAGGGCAGAGGTGGCCTTGGAGCAAAGAAGGCTGTGCGCAGGACCTCTGTGACATGGGCCCCCCACGGGGTCAGCATTTAGGTGTCCCGGTGGCCCTGGAGGGACGCTGGAGGCTGGGCCAGGACTCTGGGGACTCCGGGAAAAGGGAGGTGACAGCGCACCTGCCACGTCGTGACCAGCCAGGCTCAGCTCCTCATGGCCTCGCTCGTGTCCCGCCTCGCGGCCCTGAGGGCAGAAATCCTGTGGCCCGGGGCTGGCGTCAGGATTGGCGGCCAGGGCGAGGGTCAGTTCCCTGCAGCTGTAGGACTGAGGGTCCACGGTCCCCGCTGCCGCTGGCCGGAGACCACTGTGGGGTCCAGAGTCGCCCACGGCCCTCAGGTCCTGGTCACTCTCCAGCTCCTCCTCCTCAGAGCTCCCGTCCTGCCTCCCCTTCCGTTTCGGGGCCTCGTGTGGTTATGGTCCGTACCCCGAGAGTCTAGGCTCATCTCCCTGTCTGAGTCAGCTGCTTAGTAAGCTGCCGATGACATCTGCAAAGTCCCCTCGCAGCGGTGCCCAGCTGAATGTCTGACCGAATAACCAGGGGACAGGAATCTCAGGGTCACCTGCAGAGCTCTGCTCACACGTTGCCATCAAGGTTTCAGACAGTTTCATAGACCTCATTTGATCTTCGAGGAGAGCACGGGTTGCTTTTTAAATTCCGGCGAGAATCCGCGCTCAGCACGGCCAGCTTAGGAGCAGAGAGCATGCGAGCGAGCTGGCCGTCGGCTCCCCAGGGGCCGGCCGCTCCCCTTCCCCCTCCCAGGGCTAAGGACGCGGTGCCTGGGGCT